TCTAGTTGTATCTAATTATTTATATTTAAACCTTATATTTAAGTTTAGTTGATTAAAAATTTAATGATATTAATTATTTAAAAAATCCATCATTCCCTCGTAATATCTCAATATTCAATAAAAAAAAAATCTTGAATCGAAGCCGTACGTGTGCCTCGTCGGCAATTTTGTAAGACTCCGATCAGCGGACGGATATTTTGTTTTTGATGGGACAGCAGATGATGATTATCGGCTTGCTTACTGCAGACAGCGTGCAGACCGCACGATCCAGCATGGCAAGCTGGGCTGCTCGGCAAAATGCTGGCGTTTTTCTGTCGTCCGAGGTAGCTCATGTGCTCAGCGTGGGTGACATTATTAATTGCTTCGCGTTGATCCATACTGATTTTTGTTTTTTTTTTTTAAATAAAGGAAAATGTTGGTTCAGCACTTCATGATCCAATGGTAACCCTTTTGTGGGCGTGTTTAAGATTAAAGAACTTGAAATCAAATCTTAAGTATTTTTTTTCTTTTTCCAAAAAAATTACATACTGTTCAAAAAAAAAAAAACAAAAGAAAATGTTGGGAAATAGAGAAAATAAGATGATTTTATTCGTGGCCCAATGATCATCCTTTTGCGGAGCATGTTTAGAATTAGAAAACTTGAAATCAAATCTCAAATATTCTTTTCTTTTTCCCGAAAAAATTACATACTGTTCAAAAAAAAAAAAACAAAAGAAAATGTTGGGAAATAGAGAAAATAAGATGATTTTATTCGATTAAACTTTAAAGTGAAGAATTTATAACATTATCATTAAATTATTTAAATAATTACTAATATTTACTAAATACTTTTCTTGTAAATGGAGCAATTTAAGCATATGTTTAGGCCTACATCCTTACCAATTTTGTCTAAAAATGATCGAGGAAGACAAAGCTTTGTTTAACTTGATATATTATAGAGTCTAGTTTGAAAATATTTAATAGAATTTGTAAATAATTTATTCTCTTATAAATTTAAAAGTTTATTTTAAAAAACTTATTTTAGACCATACAACTGATATTTCTCATAAAGAAAATTACAATGACTAATATTTATTGGACTCTATCTACCAAATTAAGCAAATCCTGATATGTTATTTCCGCCACTGAAGATATCGGTACCAGATTTCCCATTAAAATCATAGAAGATCCGATCAGCATTCAAGTCACTGGCGAAATTTCTTTACGTTTCACAAAGAGATAATTTCACAAAGCATGTTTTTGCACTGATATCGCAAGCAGACTTGACCTCACAATTCTGGGTTCGTGCAATGACTTGGAATGCTTAGGTAATTTTGATGACAGGGAGGATTTCTTTCTTTGGAATCCATTTACAAGTGACTGCAACAAGCTACCAGCCGGATCACCTTCCTTTTTCTCCCTCTGTGGATTACACATACCCGCTTGGATTTTGGATTATATATGTGCAGAGCCTCGTTTTTGCTAAATGTCCATGATAAGGAATATTTAAACTTA